ACCTGGTCCAGGAACAAACATACACAATCATTTGGTATATCACAGGGGATTTTTAAATTATTTCAACAAAAGTTATGTACTACTGTAATGTAGTATCTACCTGGTCTAGGAACACACACAATCATTTGGTATATCACAGGGGATTTTTAAATTATTTCAACAAAAGTTATGTACTACTGTAATGTAGTATCTACCTGGTCTAGGAACACACACAATCATTTGGTATATCACAGGGGATGTTTAAGTTATTTCAACAAAAGTTATGTACTACTGTAATGTAGTATCTTCCTGGTCTCGGAACACACACAATCATTTGGTATATCACAGGGGATTTTTAAGTTATTTCAACAAATCTTATGTACTACTGTAATGTAGTATCTACCTGGTCTAGGAACACACACAATCATTTGGTATATCACAGGGGATTTTTAAATTATTTCAACAAAAGTTATGTACTACTGTAATGTAGCATCTACCTGGTCTAGGAACAAACACACACAATCAAAATAACTTAAAAATCCCCTGCAACAAAGTTATGTACTACTGTAATGTAGTATCTACCTGGTCTAGGAACAAACACAATCATTGGGTATATCACAGAAGATTTTTAAATTATTTCAACAAAAGTTATGTACTACTGTAATGTAGTATCTACCTGGTCTAGGAACACACACAATCATTTGGTATATCACAGCGGATTTTTAAATTATTTCAACAAAAGTTATGTACTACTGTAATGTAGCATCTACCTGGTCCAGGAACACACACAATCATTGGGTATATCACAGGGGATTTTTAAATTATTTCAACAAAAGTTATGTACTACTTCTTCCCTAACATATAATGAATAAAGTATATTCAATATTAAAAAACTAATTAGTAACTGGAACAGTTAAGTTAAGAACATTTACCCAATAACATAAAACAACATAAATCATATTGAAAACTCATCATATGATCTAGACACTGTGGTCATTATATTACTGTAGCACTTTCATGGCAAAGAATTAAACATTACATTTCTGAATGTAACCAACTTATGTCAGTCATAACACATGGTTTAATCCACTAAATCATATCTCAAGTTTTTAACACTAAAGTTTATACTTGCCTGAGAGCCAGAGTAGTCAAACTCCCCAGCCTGGCCAATTGATAAACCACCAGAACCCAATATCAAAACTTTACTGGTACTTTCAACAGATAGTACTGGCTTTGAAAAACCCAGATAAAAATTCAGACAGTCATTTACAGATGTTCTATAGAAAAAAAAAAGAAAAACTCATACTAATAAAAAGTTAATTTCATGCACAAACTAAATCTATAGAACACCTACAAACAAGGCTACACATGTATAAATCTATAGAGCACCTAAGTTATGTTACGACTTTCCTATACTGAAAATGTATTTCCGACATGTACTTACCTCCTTAGCTATTCTCATTCAGTGCTGCCTTCTGTATGCGAACATTTGCTTTACGCATACCACAAGCCTTGTACTCCCCCATGTTGGAATTGGTACATTCCAACGTGTCTCTCATGCAAATCATTATGCATCATCTATTAACCAATAGTAGCATAGTATGCTCACGTGAGGCATGTGACTTCCTCTCTACACTCCTCTACCAAGCCTTCAGTTCAAGGTTTGGTAGGTACAAGCACCGGAGAAGTGGGGAAGAAAGGTAGGAAATGTGAGTGGAAATACACTTTTGGTATAGGAAAATTATAACTTCCAATAGAGTACTTCCCCCACAAGATTAGCTATAATCCCACACTGAGAAGGAGGAGGAAATGGTGCAAGGGAATAATAAAGAAGCACCCCCAAAAGCTTCCGAAGGATACCCCTGACCATAAGAGAAAGAGAACCAGAGATCAGAGGAGGGGCACTGCACCACTTCTGATCCAGGTATACTCTTTGCCCATGTGTATAATTTGTAAAACACATAGGCAGAAATTGAGAGATGTAGAGTGGCTAGGGCGTGTCGGATGATACTCGGCAAGTCAACTACATCAAAACCTTCTCTATGGGTTACTGACATTCATGTGAGGATAGGATGAGGATCATACCATCTTCACCTCCAACCCAAGAATTGGGAATTAAGATCCGCTTCAAATCCAGGGTACTACAAAAGGATCAACACCCTACAGCAATCCAGGACTGGCCATCTGGCATGGTGAGGATGGATTAAACTTGTGCAAGGACTTATGTTGATTGGTTCACTTGAATCCAACACTTCAATGCTGGGAGCCAATGTTCACCACACAAAGGCAGGATGAGGGTTTCCAATCAAAAGGGGTGAACTGCATGTGCAACAGGTCAACTCCAAGTGGCATGGAATCTGTAACAGGAGGCCACATCAACCATTAAGGTGACGGATCAACTCAACTGTATTTGTAAATGAATAGTAGGAAGCCATGTCAACCAGTTCGGTGACGGATCAATTCCACAGTTGTGTAAATATACCTCATGATAGTTGCTTCATAAATATGTCCGTTCAAGACTGTACCACCCATGGACAGCATGGGTAAAGCAGAAGGGGATAGATGACCATCCCTGCCATGCCTTGAGTAAATAACTCGGTATGGTCTGCTTTTCAAAATAGGGTATTGTGGTCAGCCATTGCACTGTCTCCAATGATGATGTACCTCCGGACTCTCCAATGCATTCTCACGCCCCTTCCTCGAGTGTAGTATGGGAGTTCTTACCACTTTCCAGTTCCAAGCTGGTTAACCATGGAGGCACCCTCATGAATGGGTTCCACTTACAAGTTGGCTATAACCATTCATTCAAGAGTAGGGCAGTGGTGTTCTGCTGGTGTAGGTGTGACGTGGCCTCCACAGGAGTTGATCTTTATGCTATTTGTATACTCATCAATATCCACAACCATTAGAGTTGGCCTGTCACTTTACAAGCTAATGTGGCCCCCTTATAAGATAACCTTCCAGCGATCTTGTAGAAAACCCCATCTCTACGATGACCATGCAGAGCCATGTACAAGAGAGCGTGAATCAACATGGCTGACAGTGCAGATTTTAAGTTAATGAATACCTGGTCAGGCACCACTTGCCATAGAGTGGGATCCATGTGAACAAGTGGGAATGAAGAATGGCCACTGAAAAAGAGGAGAAGTAATAAAATTTACCAGTTAAAGTCACATCAAAGATGGGAGCATGGCCATAGGTGAAAGAGAAAACCCTGGCAAAGAGGAAAGCATGATGTGATGAAGATAATGGGAGACAAACATACTGGGCATGGTGCACATGCCAGCTTGAAGAATCTCCTCAAACAGACAATAAAGACAGGAAGTTAGAGAAAATGTGAGATGATGAATTGGATGGGAGGAAACATGGAACAAGGTACGGGAGGAAAAAGGTAAAGAGTAGGCCAAATGGACCAGAAGCAGACCTAATTTGTAAGGGTAGAAGAGGAAAGATCATGAAGGGAGGATGATTGCCAGGAAGTGAAAAGATGGTTGTGCATACCCCATAGGGTAGCTGTACATGTAATATAATACCATATGGCCCTGACAGGACACAGCAGTCTATCGGAGTCCAAACAAGAGTAAAGATGGGAGACAGAAGGTAGGAAAATAGAAGAAAAAGAGGAACAACCTTCTTGAGATAAATAGGATGATAAAGGGTACGTGAAGCATCAAAGACAAATAAATCAGACCAAGGACATCTATAGGCCAAAAGAAGAAGGAAATAGGTCTTAAGCGACAAATGAAAGAAGGAATATGATGAAAGTCAGGGTATGGAGGACAACATTAATGTTTGGAAGGGGAGGATGCCTGATAGGCCTCTGAATCCATGAATGCATGAGCATAGTGAGACAGAGGAAGTAAAAACCCTAGAGTATCTGGAGAAACAGAAAGTATGGGAAAGGGCTGCCCTATATCCATAAATCAGAGACCAAAGAGCCAAGTGAGAAATTCCGCTGCCACCGAGCTACTGAAGGCTTGGTAGCAAGAAATCCCCTACCAGCAGACCAATAGCAGAAGACGTTCTACCTGCACTGGAAAACGTCTATGGAAGATGGATGAATGGAAGTAGCTAACAGGGAGGCAACCCAATACATGAAACTGGATCTCCTTACCAAGGACTGCACAAAAGCCAGGCAAGAACACACAGGATGAGGAGATTGGGATGAAGAGTGTGGGATCAAAGTTGATGCAGAAGGGAGGGAAATAGTGGAAAAGGGACAGGTGGTGAGAGAAGTAGACATTGGAGCCTCGAAAATCAGGGTTACATTTGGGGATGTGGTTATCCTTGACCACACTGGCCCCCCTCGGTCATGCCCATACGAGATCCTTGCAGTGGACATTTCACAAACAATGGAACCTTGCAGGGGATCCTCTTTCTGCCACCATTTCCCTTCCTCCTTCCCTGAGAGTCAATTTGCTGTGATGGCTTGACAAAGCTTATATGCTGGTTGGTGTGCCACTTCCTCCCCTGTATCTGGAAGTCCATCTGTTCACGGATGGGGGCTTGAGTCATAAAGCTTTGCGCCATTGGTCTGCAGACGAATTTGTCCTGCATATAAATGTTCTCAAACTTTTGGCAGTTTGTCGGGCATTATCTCACTTGCTATCTCTCACCCATCAACATCTGGTGATGGTTCATTCTGACAACTCTACAGTGGCGTCTCATATCATCCACCAGAGAACTTTGTTTCCAGACCTTGGATCTTCTATACTTGGCCCAGGAACACCACATTTGCATTATCACATGTCCTTTGCCTCCAATGGGGTTCTCCCCAATTGGATGCATTTTTTTGTTACCCTCTTTTGGTCACCTATCCCACATTCACAGGCTCTGGCTGTCGATGCCTTCAGCCAGGAGGATTGGTCTCACAAATACCTTTATGTGTACCCTCCCATCCATTTGCTTCATTGGGTGATTTCTCTGGGACACTCCACTCCTTGTCAGGTCCTCCTGATTGCACCCTATTGGCCAGCATGATATAACCTCTCAAGCAGTAAGTGACCAAGCTGAGAGGGCATGGGGAACTAAAAGTTCCATAGAACTGAGGCATAAAGAAGAAAGGAGAGCTTGACTGATGTTGGTGTCAAAGAAGACCCCCAAATTCACTAAGTATTGGGTGGGTCAAAGGACTGTCTTCTCCAATTTTATAAACCAGCCCACCCAAGCTTCCACAGAAAGGAGTTGGTGAGTATGGTTGTTTGATGCTTGCTCAGAATGATCTAGAAGTAGCCAGTCATCCATGTAATGATAAAACTGTAACCTCAAAGTATGAATATGATGAGAAAAGGCCCGAACGACGTGACAAAACACGTATGGAGCTGAGACAAGTCCAAAGGAGAGAGCCCAAAACTGGTAAACCAACCCGAAATTAACAAACTGAAGATAAAGATGGGGGATTAAAGGGCAATTGGGATGTGGAGATAGGCATTGGAAACATCCATTTTTGTCATCCACAATCGCAGTGAAAACGCCCATCTCAGTGTGAGAAAGGACTCCATAATGAACTTGGGGAGTGCAATGAAGAGATTGAGGTGCAAGTAATCGATGACCAGTTACTAATCCCCGTTTTTCTTGTGGACCACGAAAAGACAAGAGTAAAACCCCTCCAAGGGATGGTGAACCAGTTTGATAGCTCACTTTGAAAGCAAATCCTGAAATACCTTTGACAGATGCTGACAAATCACAGGATCTTGAGGAGGAAAGGAAACAGTGTGTGGAGAAATGGGAGGCAGGGAAAAAACGTAAGAATGAGTCCCTCTGAAAGAACCTTTGTCACCTATTAATCCTCAACAAAGAGGAGTCAGCGAGGAAGAAAATCTAACAAACGAGCTCCCACAGACCCCATACCCACCAGGTTGTCACTGATACTGTTGACGACGGATGATACATCGGTGATACCCTCAACAAAAAGAAGTACCCAGATTTGAAGGGTAAAGGATTGGAGGATAAAGGACGGGAAACAGGAATAGGTGACATGGAAGGCTCTGGTCGAGATAAATGGGTCACAAAAGTAGAAAGTGTGGACTGTTGTCTGGTGGATGTTACCTGTGGCTCCATATCATCAGGGATGGTGTCTTTAACACGAGCCAGAATGGAACCCCTACCAATAAGGTCCCAACAACAAAGAAACCACATATGTAACAAAAGAGCTGAGGAAGAACTATGGGCCAAAGTGGAAGGGAGAAGGTGGAGGGTATCACCAGAAAATCCCTCAGGATTTCTGTAGATTGCCTCTGAGAGGAGATGTATAGAAGACAGATACCGAAGAAGGGTAGTGAGGATAAGACAAAAGCAAGAATATTGGGCATGTGTGAGACTAATATTAGATTCAAGAGCCATCCCCCAATGAGGTAGTGAGGAACCCAACAACTTGTGATAAAAAAACGGATATTCCACCCGATGGGAAGCAAGGGCATACTGACCCCTTCACCTACCTGAGAGAGAAAGTGATCCGCATGGACCTGAATATCTGGAGAGAGAGGAAATACCAAAAATGGTTGAGAAGAATTCTCATGCAATAAAGAAGGACGAGGGGAATAACAGATAGGGGAAAGAGACAAAACATCACAAACCTGATATAAAATCCGTGAAAGCCGAGGAAGGCCAGGGTGAATCATCAGGCTGGAACTGGGAAGAAATTGCTAATTCGGGAGAAGGAAAAAAACGATCAAGATCATCGTCATTCCGAATAATGTAAACAGCCTCTGAAGGAGCTCGGGCAACATTAGGGGACAAAGGGTCACCCAAGTAGCGTTCAATCTCCTGATGGACAAAATCAGAAATATCCACAATCGGGTCACCCGTATCCGAGGCCAGAGATAGGAGCTTGGTCATTGGTTTAACCTCCAAAGTGGTAACTTCATAATTCACGAAAACTGCACAAAACTGTCTAGTGCAGAAAAACGACAATAATAAACAGGGAGAAATGTGGCAATGTATAACCCAAAAGAAAATTGAACCACTTTAAACGAAAATTAAAAATGTGTCACACTGGAAGCACAGAGCACAAAAGAAAACGTCTGTACTCAAAAGCTGCCAAACAAGAAGTGAAGGTTTGGTATAGGAGTGTAAAGGGAGTCACATGAGCATACTATGCTACTATTAGTTAATAGATGTTGCATGAGAGACATACAAGTAAATTCTTACATTTCAGTTACTTTTCTTAAAACATAGAACAGTAAATAAAGAAATATAGAAAACAACAATCTCTACCAATTAAGACTGTAAAGAAGTTTGTACTTACTTGTTGTACCTTGCATGTTAAGCCTTGCCAAATTTTGCAAGTGGAGGATATAAAACAAAATAATTTTTTTAGGTTTTATATATATTTTGAAATAATGAAAAATTATAAATTACTTTACCAGAATCACAGAATTTATCAGACTTACTAACTAAGCATTATTTCAGCCTAAAAGATATATTGTTTTTCAAACACCTTTTTCTCTTTCCCATTCCTTACCGAGATTGGGGAAAAAAAATTAATCTTGGGAAATAGACACCTTGAATAGGCTGAAAAATCCGTGTGGATGAAGTTCTGAGCTTTTGATTGGTTATAAATACATGATAGAGGGAAGCAGGTGTACATAAGCTAGTATTTCCAAAAATGGAAGAGGTGGGTGGAGCCACTGTGTTTGATTTGCTAAATATAGTCATATCTCAGTAAATAAGAAATATAAGATGTTTTATTTTATATTCTAGTTTACAGTATTAGTAATTTGAGTTTTAAATTCATAAGAAACTATAAACTTTGTATTTCAACATCACAAACATCTAATTTGAACCAAAGCTGCATTCAACATACTACATGACACACAAAAATCAATATTTAGAAACTTTGTTTTAATACTTACTTTTAAAATCAAAAATTAACTAATGTATAATACTTAAGTATGAATTACAATCTATAATTTGATACCAAATTTAATGACATACATTCATAAAATAGTTGTTCAATAAAATTTTGAATGTAAATCTACGAACATGATGACATGCCCTTTGACCCCTGACCATAGGAAAACCCATAGCAATAAGGTTAATTGCTGAGTCACAGTATTGCTGAAGTAGCAGCAGAAGAATGTGATTTCAGAGAGTTACTGCATTACAGTCTCGGCTTATAACTTTCAATTTCATCAACAGCTTACAAGTTACAATTAAATTACTTGTAAAATATATACCAATAAAACGTTGCTCTTAATGTATTCTATCCTGTGTATTTACACGGACTTCACTTCAAAATCTTGATTTGTGTGAACTATTCTGAATTATCTCAAGTAACATGAAGACACTGAAATATTATGTGAATCAGAGACAAGTAAAAATTTAGTTTTAAAATATAACAACAATCTGAAATATCATGTAAATCAGAGACAAATGAGAATTTAGTTATAAAATATGAAGACTTCAATCTGAAATATTATGTGAATCAGAGATAAGTAAAAATTTAGTTTTAAAATATAACAACAATCTGTAATATCATGTAAATCAGACAAATGATAATTAAGACTTCAATCTGAAATATCATGTGAAATAAAGACAAGTTAAGATTTAGTTTTGAAATATAAAGACTAATCCAAAATATGTGAATCAGAATCAAGTGATATTTTGTTTTATACAGTTGTTCTTCATAGTTGTAGTTAATAATTGCATGTACCAAATTTTCCACGTATTCATTTTGGTTGTATTTCAAATGCTTTTAAACACAAACATCACTTTTTTCACAATGTGAGTCTAGTAAAGTTCTAGTATAACTTCGGTCATCATATGTTTGGAAACATTAACTTGTTAAAATAACAAGTTGGGTATTAACTTTTAATTGCCAACATATTTTACTGGATTTTCTGACTAAGAAATTATTTTTTCTTGATACCCCAAATAGGGTAAGTACAATTTTATTTACACAATTTAATTTAATTCTGAAATGATGATGATGATAACAGAAACTTGAATAAATCCAGGATGATCAAGGGATTTCATAGTTTCCCTTCTTCATCCTTTGGAGGAAAAGTCTTAGTCTTCAACATTTGGAAGGCTTTATTTGAGACTTGTTCAATACTGGACTTTATAAGACCAGGAAGTGGTGATGGCATGAGATTGCACAAATACACATGAAATCTTTTACTCAAAAGAATAAGAAGACAGTCTAATCAAAGCCGTGTTTCTGTTAGATCAAGTATTATTATGTTTAAAAAGCCTGATGACAATTTTTTTTCTTACAGTTCTTCTCTGATCATGTTGTATGGTTTCTTCAGTATTAGATGAGAGGGAAAACAGTAAATTTCTATACTGAAATATTTGATAGCGTTATTACAGATTCTTTTGTTTATAGGTTATAAGTTGTTGTTCTTTATGGAGTGCTGATATTGGGATATATTTTGGTGGATGTTTAGTTATTTGCATCCCTTGATTTTGGAGTTTTTGTAATTTTCAATAATTTGTGCTTCCTATATTAAGAAAATCAGGACAACCATATTCAAAAGTGACCATATGTATGTTTTATAGAGTTCAAGAACTGTTTTACAGCGTTTGCCCGAGTCTTCTAGAATATGCAAGTTGGTTTAAATGGGATGAAATCATGCTACTTCTATTGTTAATATGGTGGTTACTTGAAATGAAAGGACACTATAGCTATTAAATAAATGAGACAGAAATACTAAATAAGAGAACATATATGACCAGATTACTGGTGGACAAACAATATAAATCCTTTAATGTTGTAAGTTTTATTCTGTCAAACTATAACTTATATTACACTCTAATTACTTGTTTATTAGAAAGTCACAACTATGACTTATTTTCAGCATATAATTCAAATTCCAAGTAACTTGAGATCATAAACTTTAACAAAATATTTAATCCCCCCTACTTAACGACCACTTGTTATTAAACGACTACTCACTCCAAGTCACCAAGGATACTAGCATTCACCGTTTCAATGAAAACATCAAACAGTGACTCCATGTCCTGAGGTCCTGCCATATGTTCTGGATGAAACTGAACACTATAAAAAAATATTATTCAGTTGTGATTAAAAGGTAATACCTTCATTCACATGGCTGTTCATCTGGTCTTATAGTGTTATACATATTTTGTCATGTTGGGCACATTTAAACATGATATTTAAACATTTTACACTCATAAAAAACAAACTTAAAGGTTTGTATTCAAACACATTCTATTTTATTTCTTATTCTTTCATTAAATAATAGTAAATGGCAATTTATAAATGTATAGATATTTTTACAAGAGCATAGTAGTACTCATTAGCACTCTGCCTGATCAATCCAAATTCAAATTAGTAAAATCTCAAACAGTAAGTCTAACTTAATTAACAGGCTTACCTAAAATTCATCTCTGACAAATCAATCCAAATTCTAACTGATAAAATCCGAAATAGTAAATCTAACTTAATTAGTATATCTACTTGAGTTTCAGCTTTGAATAACCAGTTCAAATCCTAATTGATAAAATACCAAAACTTAAATGTAACTTAATTAACACATCTTTCTGAGATGAGCTCTAATGAATCAATATACAGTCTAACTGAAACAATTACAAATAGTAAGCCTAAGTTTATTACCAGGATTACCTAATAGTCAGCTCTGACTTACTAATCTAATCCTAACTGATGAAATATAAAAATCGTACATCTAGCAGGTCTATCTGAGATTCAGCTCCCACTGACTAATTCAAATCCCTGATTAAATTAAAAATTGAAGAAATAACTTAATTAGCAGGTCTATCTAAGATTTAGTAGTGTGTACTAGGCTGTACTACATGTTTTCCATTCCTTCAGTTTAACAGTAAAGTTTTCAAAATTTTATTGTTTTTCACTGTTTTCTTGACTGGAACATGTTACTACCCAAGCAAGTTTCTAATTTCAACTTTCCTTTGGGGCTAATTGTGTCAAGTGGAGCTTAGGCACCTTGCTGGAATAATAACATGCTTTTTAATTAACATGCAGAGTTGTTCTTGTCAGCAAATCAGGCAGTAGCTGTAGCTGGACTTGCTAATGATTTTTCACTACTCATTGGCAAATTGGTCTAACAGGTACAAATCAATGTTTTCTTATGTTAAAAACTCAACAGTTTATTGTCATTCATACAGCAATGTACAGGGGCATACAATTTGTAAAGTAAATTCAAAGGATCATAATAAGATGAATTTTCATAACATTTAACAGAACAAAAACACTAATTGTGTTCATTTGCATATTTTATTAACATAATTAAAGTACAATCAATTTCCTTTTCATGGAATATGAGGGCCAGTCTTCTATTTTTCCTTCTACTGATTCAAGATCCAGTTCAAAATGCTTAGGTATATGTAGAAGAGCTAAAGCAGCAAGTCTTTCCTGTCCCATGGTGGAATGATTTGTTTGTTTTTGAATTTTACGCAAAGCTACATGAGGGCTATCTGTGCTAGCTGTCCCTAATTTAGCAGTGTAAGACTAGAGGGAAGGCAGCTAGTCATCACCACCCACCGCCAACTCTTGGGCTAATCTTTTGCCAACGAATAGTGGGATTGACCGTCACATTATAACGCCCCCACGGCTGAAAAGGCCGAGCATGTTTGGTGGGACGGGGATTCGAACCCGCGACCCTCAGATTGCGAGTAGAACGTCTTATCCACCTGGCCATGCCGGACCTTGGTGGAATGAAGATAGTTTTTAAAATGCTTCACTGATGAGAAAGACTTCTCTGCACTTCAACTGACACCGGCATGACAAGGAGTATTGACAGAATATTGTAAATATTTGGATACAAGAACTTGTTTGTAAGGTCCAATGTATCTGATAAGCTATTTAGTTTGCCATCTTGACCCTCCCATTGGGTCTGCCACCTCTGAAACTCACCTCTGGTTAAATTCTCATCTATGTCTCTTTCACATTCTTCAGTAACCAAGTCTTGTATCTCAGGTGTAAGTTCTCTCAAATGTGAAGGGATCACATACTATGCACAGAACAGTCCTTCAGGTACAATAGGTCTTGCACGAAATTCCTGAAGTAGTGGTCAATGAAAGGATAATACATTGCCCTTTTATGATATTCACTTGGACCATCACCAGGAAGGAACAATAACACAGTTCCTCTGTTGACCAACACACCTTGGCATCCTTGGCTCAACATTGTTCCTTTCTGCAATCCCAACTGCCTTGTCATAAAGCGTATTCCACACAAGTTCGTCATTACATTAATCTTGAATGACTGTCATAACAACTCGAGCCTCTTTTGCAGCTTCTACTAAATCTAAGTTTTGAGACTGCAGCATAATAGGTAAAGGAACAAGTACTTGTAGTACATTTTCAGCTGCCACAAGTGTCAAGATTAATTCAAACTGTAAGTACTTCAACAACAATGTCGTATCCTGATCACAATGTGAATAGAGCATCTGCTCATGCAGACCATCTAGTTTCACAAACTTCTCTATGATTTGCTCTTGTCATATCCTGATCACAATGTGAATAGAGCATCTGCTTTCACAAACTTCTCTATGTTTTGCTTT